GCGGACCGGGGCAGGTCGCCTTCCGAGGCAGGGACAGGAAGGGAAAGGTCGCGGCTCGGCGGCCGAGAAGGGCACTAGAAATGGCCGGGGTGAGGGGTCACTTGGGGAGCAAGCCCCTCGCGAAGGTCCAGCCGATCCAGAGGTAAAGGGCACTCGGGCGCGGCGGCCCTCTTCCCTTTCGGCGCCTTGGTCCGGGGTGGCGCTCACCGTGCGCGAGCAGAAGCCGCTGGAGTTCCCGAGTGGGCGGCTGAGGGGGCACGGGCGGCGGTGCGGTGCGTTCTGGGCTGGGTTATGCGCTCCGAGGGCGCAGGCCGCTTCGCCCGGTCCCCGCTGCACCGAGAGCCGCTGCTAGTGAGGCGGAGAGCCGCGAGCGGGAGGGACTTAGCCAGCCCTCTGAGGCCGAGGGGGCGGGAGGAGCAGCTGGCGGGGCCCTTCGTGGCCGCCGGGGCTGCCCGGCGCGAACGCCTGCTGGCAGGCGCACGCCCGGCCTCTGTCCTGCGGAGCCCCTTCCGCTGCTTGGGTGGGCTGTGCAAGTCCTCGCAGGTCTGGTGGCCCCGCCGAGACGGAAGGAGCAGCGCCTCCATTTTTCCCCCCTAAATTCGATGCGAGGGTCCTTCAGGCGAAGTTGCGTGATGCCCAAATGGGGGACAATAGGTGTCAAGCAGCTGGATTTGGAATTGGCGACTGCTCTGTGAAGCACCCTTTTTTGGGTTGGGCTGGGGGAGGTGGGAGGGGAAGGGTCAAAGTCTGCAGTAAGGGGTGCGTGGAGTAATCCCAGGCTCTAGAATTCCTTGGGTGCAGCGCAAACTCCCACATCCCAAAAGATTTTTGAAAATACCCGCAGCTGGCCGGTCCTTATCAAAACCGCCTCAGTAACCTAGGAATTCTCTGTAGAATGAGTTGGAATGAGCGTTAGTGACTTTTATAAAGTCTTAGAAATCCCAAGCTCATTAAAAATAACATGACACCTAGGACAGTGTATGTTCAGTAACCAAAAAAACCTATTGCTGTCTGTTGATTGCCTTAATAGCCTGTAGGACGGTAGAAGTTCCCCATAGGGTTTCCAAGGCTGTAAATCTTTTGGTTCGTGTTTTTGTAAATCTTTACAAAAACAGACTGCTACCTCTTTCTCCTGTATTTATTCAATAGGCTTGATTGTTACAAATTACTGGGCTGATTTTTGCCTTTTGTTTTAAATTTACCCAAAACTTGTAAGAGAATGTTGAATGAAAAGTATTCATCTGTATGTTTGTGTGTGTGTGTGTGTACATAAACATTATTTTTCTTCTCCATGAAAATTTTTCCAGTCTTGTAAGTAACCTCCAGATAGGATGTGGACTGTGAGCAGAATATGAGAGGACACGTACTGGCAAAAATGAAGTAAAAGCAATCTAATTAGTGAAAATTCAGCAACATAATATTGTATGACAGCAGTAAATGACCAATTTATCATTTAAATTCCACGAAAAAGATTTTTACAACCGGATTTTACCAGAATTGCTATTCCTTGGGGCATAAAATGAATAATAGTGGTTGGCAACAGTGTATCCTTAGGGAGCGTAGAGAAAAACACACAACAGAAGCCTCTGCCCTCAAATATTTGTTCGCTGCAGTCTTTCCTAATATTTATTGAGCACTTCACAGTGCTAGGGATGGTGGATAAAGTAATATCCCTCTTCTCATGGAGTTTGCCTTCTAAAGGGGGGCAAGAGACAAATGGGAGTGAAGTAGCAGGGACAAGAAAAAAAACAGGATGGTAAGTAAAGGCCTTGCTGCTTGACATTTGCAAGACCAGAAAGTAATGAGAGAAGACCAAGCAATTATCTTTGAAGAATTTTCCAGGTAGAGGGGACACCAAGTGCCAAGATCTGAGATGAGAATGTGCTTGTCAGGCTCAAGGGAACAGCAAGGAGTTCCGTAGAGCTAGGAGATGATCAAAGATGTAAACCAGGACCCATGTTGAAGGGCTGCCTTAAGTACTTCAGCTTTTGCTAAAGTGGATGAGGTAGGAGTCACTGCATACGTAGTGTCCAGCAGAGGAGTCGTCAACGTGTTTTAAATAAATTGCTCTTCTGCTGTTTTTACTGTACAAGTGTACTGGAGGTTGATAAGCGGAAGCTGGGAGACATGATTAGTTGCCTCGAGTCAATTCTGACTCATGAAGCCCCATGTGTACAGAGCAGAACTCCATAGGGTTTTCAAGATTGCGACCTTTTCAGAAACATGCTCAGGGCACTTAGCTATTTGTACCACCCAGTTAGGAGACTACTAAAAGAATTCAGCCCAGGGTGGTGTACCCATGAAGGTGGTGACAAGTATTAGAGTTTTCTATGTGAAATCAGAGTTGATTAAGGTTATTTAGATTTAAGTAATTGCGCGGTGTTTAGCAATGTTCTGAGAATTCTTGGCCTGGGGAATAGAAAATAGGTAAGCCATTGCCCACTGTCATTGAGTCAATTCTGACTCATCATGATCCTATATGGCAGGGCAGAACTGTCCCGTAGGATTTCATAGGCCTTAAATCTTTTTTCTTTCTTTCATAACATCTTCAGTATATTTGAAGCAATTTAGTTTCTAAAACTTTAAAATTACAGTAGTCAGAGAAGAAACGGAATAGAAACAAAAGAGTGATCAGGAGGACTGCATTTTTTGTTTAGTGTAGTTTTTTAAGGATAGATACTTGAAGAACTTAACAGTATATACACACTGCCATACAAAGAACATTAAAATAGTACCCAAAACTCTACAAAACATAAAACCCATCTTTACTTGCTTGAAACTATTGCCCACAGCTAAGTAAGTTTTAAAAGTTGTCTGAAGGCTCACTGTTGTTTTCAAACCAAAGAACTATATTGTTGATTGCGCAATAAGATGATTGATAAGAAAGTCAATAGGTTTAATTTTTAAAATAGCTTTTACAGTATAGCATACTACGTGATGAGAATTCTTGGGGACTAAAGGCATTTCCATTATTAAAAAGAGGTCACCTGTTTTAGTCTTGGAGACTCTATTCCCTCCATTCTACTGGTCCCAAGAATTTCCTTACAGTCAGTTGTGCAACTTTTTAGTTTCTCTACAAATAACTTCATAATTTTTGTTTTAAAAATCATACATTTTAAACTAAAAAAGCACTAATTCCCAATACAGAAGTATAACTTCAATTAGTTTGCTAATGTTAACTTTAATTTTTTTCACAAATATCCAAAACAAAAGGTAAAATGATTTAGATAGCCAGATTTTAAAAGCAGCAGGCAAAAATGGAGGTCTACTCATCTACTTATAATATTTTTAGTTGCCATATAAGGAAACCCATAATAAACCTACTCACATTTATCCCTGATATTTTCTATTTTTTAATGGCCATTTGAAAACTAAAAATTGAAATCTTTGCAGAAGCTGACAGCCTATCATACTCTCCAGCAATAGCTGATAGTTTCAAACTGCTGACTTTGCTCACCTTCCAGTTAGCAGCCCGGTACATCACCCACTACACCACCAGGGCTCCTTCATAGTCCCTAAAAAAACTCCACCTCATAGTGACCCTACAGGGCAGGGTAAAGCTAACCTCTGTGGGTGTCTGAGGCTATAAATCTTTATGGCAGCAAAAGCTTTGTTTTCTCCCATAGAGCAGCTGGGGGTGTTGAACTACTGAGCCTTGTGGTTAGCAGCCCAGCACATAACCCACTACACCACCACTAGGGCTCCTTTCATAATCCCTTAGCTCTTTGCAAGTCCAAGTGAACTCGGGCATCACTTAGAAGTTTGTTAGAAATGCAGATTCTCAGGCTCCACCCCAAACCTACTAAATTAACCTACATTTTCACAATATCTTCTGGTGATATATATATGTTAGAGTTTGAAAAATCACTGTTTGTCTTCAGAACTTGGCCAATGTCTTTGAGATCTGATATGAAATAATCTAGTGGGCAAATTCTCCCGCCCCCTAGAATCAGAAACTAAGAATGGAGCCCAGCTGTGTTTCAACAAGTCTTCAAGAGAAGTCTGATTGATGTGTCCTGGCTTTAGAGAGGTAGTACTGAAAACATCTTGTGATAAGGTGGGCCAAGGAAAGGCAAAAGAGACCTTTCCCTGGCAGATGGCCCTGCATTGGTTATCCTACTGTAAGGATTCGTTGTCAACTAAATTAGGGTTTGTTTTTTTTTTAAGGAAAACAGTTATGAGGGGACCAAGATAGACTAGTCAATCATAACAGAACTTCACATTTTGGTGTCCATTTCACAGCCCGCCAAATTGGGCTAATTTATGGTGCAATAACTCAAAAAATCAATGTTTTCAAAGAGATTGACACACTATATATTGTCCCTTGACTATATGGCCATTTGGTTTTGTAAAAGTCATTTACATATGTTCTGTGATTGGTTCCATGCCACCAGAGAGCAGAGTTGTGTAGTGACAGCATGATCTTGTTAGGTGTCGCCTCATGGTGACAATCAACAACAGAATGAAACACTGCCTGGTCTTGTGCCATGCTCACAGTCATGTCTGAGCTTGAGTCCATTGTTGTAACTACTGTGTCCATCTCCTTGGCGGCGTCTTCTTCTTCACTGACCCTCTTAAGTATGCTGCTGTTCTGGAATGGATTCTTCCTGATGATACCTGTGTAGTGAGGTGAGGTCTCACCATCCTTCTAGGGAGCATTCTTGCTGTTCTTCCAAGACAAATGTGGTTGTTCTGACATGCTTAATATTTTCTCTAACACCATCATTCAAATACATTCATTCTTTTTCAAAATGCCATGGCTTGGATCAAATGCATCTTAGTCCTCAAAGTGGCATCCTTGCTCTTCTACACTTTAAAGAGGCTTTATGCCACCCATTTACCCAATACATCTTTTGACTTCTTGACTTTTGCATCCATGGATGTTGATTATAGATCCAAGTAAAATGAAATCCACCTATGTTAGGTCAGGCTGACTAGAGAAACAAATTCAGAGACGCTCATATTTGTGTAAGAGAGAGCTTTATATCAAGAAGTAATTATATATATAGAAAACATCCCAGCCCAGTCCAACTCAAGCCCAGAAGTCCAATAATAGTCCATAATTCCCTCTTCAGACTCAAGCCATCACATGCAATGATGCAGAGTGCAGGAATATCACAAGCTGGTGGGTGCAAGTTCATG